GGGAGGATGGGAACATCCTTAACAGTTACTGCTCTTCTTTGGCTTCTCATCGTCTGTGCTGGCAGGCGCAGGACAGACCTGGCTTGAAGTGAGACAAAGAAGTTGAGTGAAGAGCAGTCTTGATTGCAGTCTTCATGAGCTGAGCCCCAAAAAATTTTGCCTTCTGGTCACGTTGCAGGCTGCAGTTTGGACTTGTGTCATGTACACTAAGCGTGGAGAAGTGGTGTAGGGCTGGCTGCTGGTGGGCTGATCATACCGTGCAGTTGGAGAGCTTGGTGACGCATATACATCAGCATGGATTTACACGTATATTTGGACACTTGCAATGAGGAGGTAGTGCGAGTACAGTTTCAAGTACAGGTTCAAACCCACCCTTATTTGACTCTTCACAGAATCTCCAAGCATTTATTAGTGTAATAAAGCTGCAGGTGATGTCGAAATGAGTGCTCTTAGGTTCAGGATTTCTTTTTTTATTTGATTTTCCTGAGCGTATATGACTCTTCCGGCCTTACTGCAACCTCATATTTGCATGGGCAGCCTACTGACTTAACAAACTTCTATTTTTCCTGATAACTCCTCAGCATCTATTTAAGTTGCTGTTTGTATTGTGTGTTTTACAGGTTGGAAGTATTTACTTCTAGCAGGAATTTTACATTATGTCTGTCTTCTTGGCTGCTGGCGCAATACTATAAATATCCCTTGTTAAATGTGTTTATAGCATCTTTGTTGTCTAATCTCGTACTTCAAGTACTGAAACCTGTGAGTTTTTCTTAAGCGTTTAGCAGCATTCAGTGAGCACCACTGTCTGTTTAACATCAGGCTTTGGGCAGTGAAAAACAGCATTCACATCTGCTTTTCCCCACCTTTCAGAACAGAAATAGATGTAGCACAGCTTTTTGCAGCATCTTTGATCTGAGCCCTCTTCGCTGCTTGAAAGCTAGTCCTGATCCCTGGAACATGATCTCCTGACAGAAGGTCTTTTCATTGGACCAGAAGCTTTAAATGCATGGGCGAGGCTTTACAGAATCTGTAGAGCTGGAGCTAAAAAAACCCAGGAATTTATTTTTATGTATTCCATCCCTCTGGGAAGAGTACATTGGCGGATATTTATCCCAGACATGTATTCGGCAGGAGGTTTCCTTGAGCTAATATGCATTAGGAGGTGGCTCCTGTTTCTTTTCCCTAAAATGTGTTAGCCTTTTCTAGGGCTGCCATAATTCTGCCTTTTTTTTTTTTTTTTTTTACTTTTCTTTTCTTTTTATCGCCTGGCATAATTCTGCCTTTTTTTTTTTTTTTTTTTAATATGTCTTTCTTTTTTGGTTTGTCCAAACAGATTCAGATAATTAAATTCAGAAACCAGGAGATGTTTCCACAGATGTGCTTAGACTGCGGGGGTCTGGCTCACCTTCCACAGCCTGCGAGAGTGGCAGTGGGAGTGGGAGCCACTGGATTAGGAGTTGAGGGCAGTGGAGGGATTAGTGAGGATGGAGGTGGGGGACTTCATGGTGTACAGCCTGGGGTGAGGCGGGTTAGGAGTTGCGGGCTGAGGAGGCATTAGGGGTTTTCATGGGAGCTGTCCCTACTTGGGCATCTCTGAGCAAGACCTTTGTTTTCAAGCAAGGGGCTGATCTCTGCTCCCCAGTTCCCTCACCCTGTCCTCCTCCCTGTCACCATTAGAAACCTGCCTGGATTATTGCACCCTTGACATCAGTGAATTTCTGCTCCCACTCAGAGTTTTGCTCACGTACATTCAAATACAAGGGCTGTAGGCTATGGAGAAGTGTTTGGAGAAAACTTGGGATGAAATGTGTTGTGTTATGATATGTTACTGTTAGTAAAGTGGCTTGCAAAGCAAAGCAAACTAATGACACATTTTTTCTAACATTTACTAAAGTGTCTTGCAAACTTCAGTAGATGCTAAACAAACTAAAACTGATGTTTTAGAACAAATGATCATTTGCTTCTTAAAATAAAGTACATCGGCTTTATTTCTGTGTGTTTGGGGAAGGTTCGTTGGTTGTCGTAAAATAAGCTAAAATTTTCCCTCTTTGAAGTTATTTTAAGATTGTTTCACTAATAATTAACCACTTAATTTAGAGGCACTTCAAAAAAACAAGCAAGTTTGTACTCTACTGTAAGTTCTTGTAATACATTCCTGAACTCTGGTTATAGTCTGCCTAGAAGGAGAGTTTTTAAAGGAAATTGGGCCATAGGACCAGTATGAATCCGTACGCATTAGAGAGCAGTATTAATGTTTGCAAGTTTTCCTCTCTGATTCCTTTCCCTAATTATAAAGCCTTGGGCCTTTTGTTTGCAAGAAATGCATAATACATAATATGTCTAGTCTGGAGGTCTTTACTGTTTGGTAATGTATGGGTTTTATTGATGTAAAGTAATTTGAAGATTAGGTATGCTCCAGAACTTAGTTATGCTTTCAGTTGCTCATGCTATAATTTCAGTATTTTTCTTCCAGTTTGGTCATTCTAGAAATAACATCTAAAGCTGTTTCCCACATCACAACTGAAGAGTTGTCATGTTTGTTTAACCAGCTCCATCTGGCTTCCAGTAACTCCCAAATTTGAGTTTTTCACAGCCATGCATGGATTCCTGCCATGCCCACAGAATGCAGAGAAAATTTTTGCTAAGACTGGTTGGGGTTTTTTTTGTTGAAAGAAGCATGCTTTTCTGCAGAGAAGGGATTAAATATTTTTCAGATTGTGCCCTACCTCACAGATTCCTCTCTCCTTAGAGCAGAAAACACACATCTTCTGGCGCGGCCCCACTGCTGGCACCACTGCACGTGGAAAACATTTTTCAGTGGTGTTTTTTTGGGCCAGGCTGGAGATGATGAGGTCAATCAGCTGAAGCAGCCAGTGCCAAGCTTCTAGCAACCACACCAGCGTGCGGTGGGGGCAGGGGAGGTGCGGAGCCCTGCCACCAGCTCGCAGCCCCTGGGAGAGCCGCTGCCCTGGACCTGTGGGCAGCGTCTTGGTGCTCCAGACTTGGAGTGTGGCCTCTGCCACTCAAATACCAGCATCCTTGGCCATGCAGCCTGCGGTCTATGCTTCCCTTGTTTATAACCTCCCCGACACAGTTTAAAAAAGAAAAGGAAAATATTTCATACAGTCTTTCTGCAAGTATGTCACACTGGCCAGGAATTTCTTATGCTTGCGACTGAGAACTCATACCATGGCTGCAGACAGGAGATGCCACATACAGCACAGCCTAAAGTCAAGTTAAGCAGAAAAACACAGTGTTAAGACTATGGAATTACTGATAACAGAGGAAGTATTTTCCAAGTGTTTGCAATTAAAAACAACCCCCACAATTGTTAACAAGTTGTTGTTAGGAGTTGAATATAGAAAAGTCACGCATGCCTCTCTGATTTTAGGAATTCCAGATTTTATTTATAATGCAAGACACAACCCCCATTTCCTTTCAAAAATGCAACAAACTCTTTTTGCCGCAGTCTGCTAAATTATCTGATATTTTAACTTGCTTCTAGTAAAAGCATACCTTGACCCTTCGTTCTCCCCGACTGCCTGGTGAGGGGCTGGAGATGGGCAGGGGGTGAGCCACAGCGGGCAGGGGAATGTCAGAAGCACTTGAATGAAATGCAGCAAGCAGTGGCCGTGCTCCCCGGTTGCCTCCCAGCCCGCTGTGCGAGCAGCAACCCAGACAGGTCCGTGCTCTGGATCTGAATTGCAGAGGTGTGTCAGGGCACTGCAGGGAGCCACATTCGAAGTGGCTTGTTAAACAGGCACAGGAACGAGAGAACAGGGGATCGTGTTACTGCTGATGAACCGCCTTTTTACATTTTAATGGTGTTTACTACATGTGTGGATTCAGGCTGAGGAGAAGACAGACCTGCTCCCTCAGCAGATCAGAGTGGAGGTTGTCCCCCTGGAATATACAGGCAGAGAGGTTTCTCTGTTAGGTTGCTGGCTAGTGTCGCTGTAGGAAGTACAGCAAAGCATTTCTTCAAGGCAATGTGAAGGGAGTCCTGTCAGTGAACTGTAGTCAGCTGAAGTGTAATCTGAAAGGGAAGAGAGTTAGGACATTACAGATAATTGAAGGAACAAGTAACTGAAGCATGAGCATAAAGGGTGTGAAAAATGTCCTATCACTAGCAGCTTGTGAGAAGATAAAAGCTGTATTGGTCTGATTGGTTTTAGTTATATGAATAAAATATGTATGTAGTATTTAAGGCAAAGAAGTTGCCCTATGTGAAATTGAGTTCAAGAAAATGAAGGTCTTATAACAATCTTGGTATTCCATCATTGTATGAGTCTGTTTTGGGTAGGTCTGGTTTTGGTTATATTTCATTTTTGTACGATGTGTGTGCTTTAATTAGCTATTTGGAGAAGGAGGACTGTCAATTCTTTTGATCTGTTTTTCTTCTAGCTCTTACAAGACTGTTAGGTCTACCTGGATGTCTGCCACTTTCCAATAAACTTTTTGATTGTCTAGTACTCAATAATCAATTTGGGGGTATCTGTAGTGTAAAAGGTGTATTGGCAAGATTTTCTGTATGCAGATCTTTTGACATTTCACAAAGTTTGGCAAAAGTGATGTTTCACAAAGTCCAGTTTCTTAATGAGGTCATTTTTCTGGTGTTATGGAGGCTTAAGTTGATCTGACTGGTTTTCTAGTGCTTTCATTTTTTCCAGGTACTTGTATATTTATTTGTCCTTCTCTGAAGGACACCATCTGATTTTTAAGAATGTGAAATAAGCATGTTTCACTAACTTTTGCAAGCTGGAGCCTTAAAAAAGTGGGTTGGTTTTTTTAAATGAGATTCACTGTTCTGTGATTTTTTTGATATGAAAAAGGTTTTATTTCATTGCTTTTCATTCATATATGTATATATGCACACATATAAATACATTTAGAATGACCCTTATACAAACCCTTGTTCTTATTAAGTCAGTTGTTGAAGTACGGTAGTTGAGTCTACATTGTCCTCACAGTTCAACTATTTTGTTTTGTTCTTTACGCAGGAGCCCTTACCAAAGTAAAGGAGAGTAAGCGGCATGTGGAAGAGGGGAAGATGGAGCTCCAAAAAGCTGAGGGCATTCAAGAACGCTGTAACATTATTTCTTTTGCAACCCTAGCAGAAATTAATCATTTCCACAAAATCCGTGTGAGGGACTTTAAATCACAGATGCAGCATTTCTTGCAACAGCAAATACTCTTTTTTCAAAAAGTGACACAAAAGCTAGAAGAAGCTCTTCACAAGTATGACAGTGTTTAGTCTCTGAACTATGATCTGTGGACTTCCCCGAGCATGAACATGACCCAGGCGGCAGAGCGAATGCTGCTGCTGCTGAAGAGCTGTTGCCAGTGGTAGACGGTGGTACAAGGATGGTTTTGAGTTCACCTGGAACCCCAGTTTAACCTCCGATTATGTAGAAAGGAAACAGTTATAGGGCTATGTAGTAGAAACAGTACCACGCATTGTAACTAAGTTATACTGTGTATGCCTACACTACCATTGTAACTTTTTTTGAAATAATAAGTATACTATTTGCCTTATTGCTTTTTGAAATACGGTATTTTAGTGCATACTTTGTAGACCTCAACACCCTTTGGGTCTTTAAGGAAGTTGGCTAGATAAAAGCCTGCTTCAGATGCCTTTTTACTTTCCTAGATCTGGATTTCCTAAATTCAAACAATTCTCTGTTTACAGACTCCTACTAGAGCAGCTATGTGATTCTGTGCCTTTAGACTCTATTTTTCCTTTTCTAGTAAGTCACATTTTTATGATTGAATGAATGAAGGGTTGATGCCTATGACAGGAACTGTTTATGAAACCTCACACTGACTGGAAAAAAATCAGCTGCCATCCAGTTTGCACAGCAAGTACTGTCTTACGACAAGTGTTGGCTCAAAAAGGAGAACTTAAATCTATTCACACTTTCCCTGAAGATGGAGACTACTTGTTACGTGTACTAGGATGTTAAACACATACACAAAAACACACCACTTAATTCCCTTTCTGAAATGCATAATACAGTGAGGTGTTTTTTTTCCTGGTATACAGCATTACTGTGAGTGGAAATTTGAAGAACTAGTGTAATAAAAATTATGTATATCAAGGGGATATGAATGCAAGCTATGTGGCTGGAACATTTTTTTAAGTTTGAAATGGTCTGCTGCTTGTTCAGTCGCCGATTCAGTTTAGCTTCAGACTTGCATTTGTGTTGCCAGTTGTCTGAGTTGAAACTCCACTGTGATTCATTAGTTTACCAAGTTAAAAATTTTTGGGGATGTTCAGTAATACAAATGGTCTGAAGTAACTCTTGGCTGAACTGACTTGGAAAACAGGTGGCATTTTTATGTTTGTAACGCTCAAGAATTAACAATTGTCTTACTTTTTGTATAAATATTTTTGACAAGCAGGGTGCATTTATATATATGTAAACACTATCTTTTAAAATTTTATGGCTTATTTCCCTTGAATTAAGTCTGAAGTCTGTGTTTCTTACCTATTGGTTTCCTTCTTATAGGTCAGTATGAAAGAGAGTTTTTATTTATCCTATCTTTTTTCTCCTAAACAAAAATAACAAAACCTTCCACAGAAGCAAAATGTTTACTTTTTTGTTTTTAATTGAATTAATCAAAGATAGCTTAAACAAATGAAAGCCTGGAAAAGGAAGTTAAGCAACAGTTACATTTAAGTACAAATCATTCCTCACCTATGCAGCAGAAATGTGCAGTTCTTTCGCTCAGTCGTTTCAGTAGCTTAACCCCAAACCTCTATTTTAGAGGAATAGATGTAAGAATGTAGTTTTTGTTTTAAGATTCATCCCCAAATGCTGGAGACTGCTGGTTTGCGCAAGTTGTGTTTGGCAGTGCTTATAGTACATACCCAAAGAAGTAAAATACAGAATAATGAAGAGGAAAAAAACAGTGTTTGTAAAAGAAAGGACAATCAGTGAGGAAAGACTCCATTTCCAGGCAACTAGAAGAGTGCTGCAAACAAGGTTGACCACAAAATGAGGACCATAGTCATAGGCCTGACTTGCTCTTTATCTTCCTCATGGCATCTCGTTCTACACTCAAAACCCACCACTTCCCCTAGAAGCTCTTCCCAGCAGTACTCCAGCTTCCCATATGTCATTTAATTATGTGAGATAGTGATGAGCTAGGTTTGAGCTGAGTTCCATGGCTTATGTTTGCTGAAGCCGGATACTGTTTTTTAAAAATGTCTTTGCAGTAATTAGATCAGACTACAATCAAAATAATTCTACGTGGAGGTATTAAGACCTGTTCAGAAATTGATCTTGGTCCAATTGAAGTATTCTAGGAGGTTAGTATTAGTGACATGTACATGTCCAGAAGGAAACTAAGCTGTGATATGTATACGTACAACATTATCAGAAAGGTACAGTTTTCCCAAATAAACTGTCATGGCCTTCACCTTATTTTCTCCTTTGTGAATTTTTGGGGCAGGGGAAAGTGGGGGTGCTAATGGGTTAAACTTGATGTATTGAAAAAGCTTGAGTGGAATCATGGATCTGAATTGTTGCAATGTTTGGAAGGGTTCGAATCTACATCCATATTAGCATCTTCTTTTATTTCCTCACTCATTATGGAGTTGGAGTTAAACTGATGTAGGGAGCCTGAACTCCATTAATGCTTACTGCACTATGCGAGAAATATGGTTTTAATTTTATTTGGAACAAGTATGACATTGACCACTCATGACTGATGGACTACTGGATGGTGTGGTCTGAGAGCTAAATGTAACGCTGCAGTAAAGTGTATCAATATTGTGTGGGACTTTGGAAGCATCATCAAAGGAAATCTAACAATCTTTTTAAATAAATAAATGTGGAGGAGAGCAAATGAGCTGTATAGCATAATGTGAAATGCCTTTGTTTTATTCCATTCCTATAATTTGTTTTTGATGCATCACAATTTTTGCATTGACAAGTAGTAAATATCTGGTATACTTGTTTGGAGTTCGAGAGGTTGAACTGGAAGCTGCAAGAAGGTCCACTGAGGTATTGGTTTCTGTTAAAGTGCCAAATGCAATGAAAACTGTGGAATGAACCCTTCAGGGGAATATACCTACTTAGAACGACCGGTAAGAGGAGTGTGAATAATGCTTCAATTCAGATTGTAGGGTGTACATTTAAAAATTAACAACCTACTGAAATTATTAGATCAGTTTGTTTCCAGGCCTTTTTCTCATCTGATACTTGCAGAAAAGACAGTTGCCTTGGTTTATGACTCATGCGTGTTTTCTAGATTCTCTCTACCAGTTTCAGGGTCCAATGGCATGGTACGTTTGATTTACAAGTGATATAAGACCTAGCTTAGAGAGATCAGTAGGAAAATTATGTGGTGATGAAACACTCAAGACAAGCGCCAACAAAATCTGGAAAAAATTCAGAATGGAAGACTATTTTGCATATAAAATGGATATGTTTTCAGAAAAAGTTAATCAGATGCCTACACTGAAAACACCTGTACTATTTCGTGAGGCAGAGCAGTCTTTTTGGTGAGTTACAAGACCCTGTTTGCAGTACCTTATTATTTTGCCAGACCTTCGCTATTGCACCTAACATCTTCCATCCTGGTTGTCTGCTCCAGCCTGCATTCTTCTGGGAAACGAAAGGTGTTCAGCTATTTCTCAGAAGGAGATCATAAAAATAAAAAAAGTTTTTTCACCTCTTAAATTCTCTAAACAGTTTGGCCGGAAAGCTTTAGTTCTTTCATACTTTGGAAAAAGGCCTTGAAATTTGGCAGACTCATTACCTTTTGCATCCTTAGATAGGCCTGCTTCACTGCCTGTATTTGTCCAAATATTTCCAAGTTAAACTAAGGTTTCTCCAGGCCCTACTATGCTCGCATTTGACAGATAGATTTTCTGTAGTTCCCCTTTGCTCCAAGCTGTCTTGGTTCTAACCTCCGTCAGGGGCGGTGAAGTGAGGCATCCTCTGTAGCTGTTTTCCCTTCTTCCAGAAGATGCTGAGCTGCCCAGGCCTGGAGCTGAGCGAAGAAGCTGTTGATCGGTCCTGGCGTGGCTGCTCTTCGAGCCTGGCCATGGGAGGAGAGAAGCAGCAGCCTGAAACGCAAGTCTGAGGCTGGGCCTGGAAGCTACAGCAAGGTGGAGGTCGGAGATAGTTGGGGAGGAACACGTGGGGACAAAGATCGGAAAAGAGTGAGGACGGGAAGCCCTGTGACTACAAAAGCCTGTTTCTCCAGCCTCTGATTACACCTTGGGCTTCCAAAGCATCCGTGTCCTTTTGCTGTTACTGAACAGCCATAATGAGCAGGCACAAAATGGGTGACCTGCGTTCTTCTGGTGGTGGGGATGGCAACATTCTGTTTCTCTCCTTAGAAACTACTTTCTTTGCTTGGTGGTCAAAGGTCTGACATGGCAGTTGGAAAGTTAAAGTATACTGATGAATGGTGGATTTCGGGGCTGAAGGAGGTGCCGTAATGCAAACTCTCAGGCAGCACTGCGGGTGTCGGTACGGCTCCGTATGTTCTATTACCTAGGGTTTTTTGTTGGGGAGGAAAGAGGGAATCAATTTAGGAAGTTGCACACACCAAAAATAACTATCTTAAATAATGCTAAAATTGATCATTCGGTAAAAGAAGTCGGGAAATTTCAGAATTGAAGTTGCCTGTGTCCTAATATATCAAGGTACATCATGATGCATGGTCACGTAACTGTTTTTCCACCGCTTCTCTGCCTGATCTAGTGCACAGGATATAAAGCGGTCTTTCAGGGAGGTTGTTCTCTACATCATCCTTACTTCTTTTGCACAGTACCAGTTGTGCTCTGCACAGTGAGAAGGAAAGGCAGCGTGAAGATCAAGTGAGGGTCCCCTTCAGCCTGCAGCGTGGTGCTCGGAGAGCTCCACTCTGTCCCTGCCTGGATGCAAGTTCTTCTATGCAATCTAAGCCACACAAAATAAATAATTTGTGTGAAGGGCGTGCTCTCCATTTTGAGTTTAAAACCAGGGCTTGCTCTGAATAAAGTGCTGGGTGTTTGCAGTTCTCACTGAAGGTTGTGGACATTCTGCTTTGAATAGAAAAAATGATAGAAAATGCTAAGTTCTCTGGAAAAAAATAACCAGGAATTAATTTCTTTAAGCAGACCACCACAAATTAGAGGACAGTTGTAACCTATCAGCCACCAAATGGGAATAACAAACCCAGCTGATTTTGCTGGAATGTTGCAAATATAAACTCCTTGAAATAAATAGAATTTTCAGATGTTGCTTTATTAAGATTTAAAAAAACCCTCAAACCTTCCTAAGGAAATTAATACTTAGTCTTCAGAGTGAGGTGTGAATGTTATATGGGAAATAAGGGATGGGGCCATATGTAGAGCAGTGGGGTAATATAAGCCTGTAGAGGAAGTTCAGTCAGGTACTGCTCGTTCAGTGAACTGAAGGAGAAAGGCCTTCCCATAAAAGTCCTGTGTGATCGTGTAGTTGGAGCCCATTTTTGATGCATATTCACAGAGAAGCTGAACCTTACTGCTGGCATTTCCAAAGTTTTAAGATGCTGCTTTTGTAGTTTCAGTAATTTCTCAATGTAACACAGTGCAGTATGGTACGTGCTATACATAGAAATAGAAATTGTGTAATATGTAAGTAATGTAACTCCAGTATACTTCAGACTCAGATGGATAGCAGCAGAGCTCAGGCATGCACTGAGTCAATTTCAATACATGTGACTTTATTAGACAGAGTGAAACTCTAAAGTTTCTGAAGTTTCTAAACTTAAAAGGTGTCTCCCATACTGA